GAATTGAGAATAACGACTAACTAGTTATCCTTTTTCTTTTGACAGTTTATCCGAAGTGTGAATTGAGTTAGGAGAAATCCAAAATGTCTTTACCATTCTATCAGAGGCATCATCAGCATTTCGACCGAGCTTATCGTCACAAAGAGCTAGAATCCACACTAAGTCAATATCAGAAAGAAGAAAAGCGCAAGTCTGCAATTTATACACATGGCTCTACTGCCTACAGTCACAGAGGTGCATCAGCTTACCGTCAGGAGTCAGCTTTTTCTGATCAAAAATCCACAGAAGCCAGCCAAGAATTATCAGAAGCTCATGCCCATAAATCTGCAGCTCACAGTAAACGATCTGCAGCTTACAGTCTAGGATCTGAGTTGGTCAATAAGACAGCTGAAGCGTATCATTGTGGATCTGAATTGATCAATCAGAAAGCTGAAGCATATCGTCTTGGATATAATACATACAGCCGCGGGTAGAGTAAAATCCAATTTTATGTAGTATGGTAGCTTTCCATCCATTTTCACTTCCTCAGGATCAAATTTTGTGATAATAAATATTTTGGGGGACAATACGTTTTCTCAGATTACCATTTTACAAAATGTTTCTTTCTGTTTTTGTATACCTTAAATATTAATTTGGTTTGTAAAACCATTTATGTGCCTTGATGTACATTACAATGGATAGTATATCATCAGAGTCAAAAAGCAAGCTGTTGACAGCACTTTAACCAGTTATGTAGTGTGTGGGTTTGAGTGAGGAAGTGGAGAAACATTACTCTTCTTAGCCATTTTTTCCCTCATTCAGAGCACTCAGCACAGCTGCTTTTCTGGCTATGGAAAGAAAGGTTATAAATCTTCCTCTGGGTGGAAAAATAATTTAGTCAAATATTTGATTATAAATAAAATAGCTGGAGGGGAAATTTTCTGCTTAGTGGTTCTCCTGTATTCTAGCTCAGACTCATAATCTCACTGCTGTTTTTCTGAAGGAGAAAAATATTACAGGAATGTTGCATATACGGTACTTTTTGTATTATGCTTATTTTGGCTTTGAATTCATAAAATTTAACACTGTGATTTATTCCATAATGTTAGAGTCAGAAAAATTAAAGACAATTCCTCTATTGGTGTTGTCAAAGAAACACAAATAAAAAGAAAAAAATTGAACTTAACTAATGTCTGAATTATATCAGTGACTGTCAATGACTACAGTCATTTTATCTAAAGATGAGGAAAGACAAATGGTTTTTTACCGTTACTTGAGTTCATACTTTATTCTGATAATTTGGTGCTAGCAGTTGAAATCCAATACAATAAGGAAATACAATGCAAGTGTTCAATCTCTCAGCAGATTTAAAAGAAAATGATTTTTTCCCTGAAGTGATTAACTTATTTGCTATAGATGGATTTAAGCTTAGGTGAGCCCAGTATCGACCTGTATAATTGGATTATTGATACCGTTAAACATATCATCACATTTATTATTTAAGTAGCTGTGTTATTTCAGCTTGAAAATAGTTTTAATGGCAGATGCACAAAAATTAACTGGATTATTTAATAGCAAGAATTTGTGACTAGTTTAGTTTATACAATTATGTGGCAAGAAAGATAGGAAGACAAATTCCTTACTTGCAGTTCAAATATTATTTATTATTTGTTCTTCATGTCTTTTATTTCTAAACTTTTTTGCCCTGTTGTAGAAATATTTCTTTTTTTCTGTAATATAAAAATTCATTTAAAAAGTGTTAGTTTTTGGTTGTTACAGTAATTTCTTGATCATATGGCCAAATATTACAATATTTCTGTGCTTTGGCCAGAAGGGAAACCCCCAGTTCAGCAGACTGAATGTAACTTGAAGAAGTTCCTTTTGGCATGTCATGAATTAGTCATCAGCTGAGATGGAGAGAAAGAGGAGTGGGGGGAATTTAGACATTTGACTCCTAATTAATTTGTCCTGCAGGCTTAGAAGCAGTTTACATTTTTCAGCTGCCTCAGGGTGAATGTTTTAAATTGCTTGACTTGATAGATTTTATAATGTGGTGAGTAGTCGATGAGTAAAGCAATGGTTTCTGATTTTTAGAGGCCTGTGGCCCCATTTGAAGGCTTATCTTGTAGGAGTCATTCATCTGTTAGTATTACAAGTCTGCTGCCATTTGCTTTCTGGGTTGTCCAAAAGTAACTGTCATGGAAAAGTGCCTGGTCCCAAAAGAAGATTTTTAAGAAGTTCAATGCAAGACAGAGGTTGGCATTCTTGTTTCCCTTCCAAAACATTATTTTCTACAGTAACAGAGTCTGCCAAATATATATTTAATAGAAAGAGAGCTCAGCAGAAATAAGAAAATCACCTTCAGGATACACTAAATAAAGAGGACTGTACTTAGACTTCAAAAGCCTTATTTGCCTTGTTAAAGTGCAATCAAACAATAATACATTAATACTTAACAAAATATTCAATGATAATATGTTCTATGTGCCTTTCCAGATCCCTGAACTTAACTTTTAGGAGTAACAGGAACAGTGGTGGGATTCAAATATGTGAACAACTGTTTCTCTGTGTGGATGCTGCTTCCAGAAGTCCATTCTGGGCCTGGACAACAAAAAATTAGTTACCAGTTCTGCTGAAGTGGTGCGAGCTGGCTGAATCCCACCACTGAACAGGAACCACTCCATCCCACTTCTTTTTTTAAAAAAAAACATGTTTATTTAAATATTTGGCTTGCCCAGTTATAGTATACTATTCCTTTCCTTAGAATGTTTACAGCCCCATAGATTTTCCAATCCTAGAAAGAGGATGGTTAGCTGAAAGACAATTCTTTGCTTACTATTAAAATCAATGGGACTTCTGTCATATGTAACTTGTTTATTGATTTCCATGGAACTGACTTTCTATTTCTTAGTAAGATTAACTGCAAATTAGGAATCTAAATTAAAATATATGTAAAATAAATACATGTAAAAATTCAAAAGAAAAAAAATCACAGTGGATCCATGATTTATTTATTTTTAATTATCTTATAAACTAATGAAAAACATAAACATTTGTTATATTGTGACAAATTGAATAGTGCTTAAGGACCTACAAATTTGTCTTTTAGTTTACAGACAAAAACTGACAGGGTTATTCATTAGAAAATTTCTGAAAATATTAATAATATTTATATCTGGATTATTAGGAATGAAAAAATAATTAAGTTTCTCAATTTTCAGAAACAGATTTCAAACTCTTACTCATCAGCTAAGGATCTGCAACTAAGGTTCTGTAAAATAATATTTCCCCAGGGAAGATTCTTTCATTGCTCTCTCATTTCAAGGAGAGTTGTTTTATGTATTTTTCCAGTCCAAAGCTAGTTCTTTCAAGTAGATTCCTGATTTTCAGGGATTGACAGGAGTGGTAAAATTTTATCTTTGTCTGGAAAAACAGCTTTTTTTAAAATCAGCTTTAAAATATTTGCACTTTTGTGCTTCTCCTCTAGAGGAAATGTTGGTTACATTGTATAGTGATAAAGATGCAATAATACATTCTTAAAAAAAAAATAGGACTTCTTGGTAAATATATTTCAATAATTTTCTCAGTTGCCTGTGGAAACTGTCCTTTATAATTAGAATTATAAAAATTATTATAGATTGTAATTACCCAAATAGAAGCTTTGATAGAAATAGATTGGAAACTAAAGTATAAGTATGAACAATGACATGGTTTTCACTACAAGTAAATGCAAGCTTGCATCAGTAAAATGTTTTAAATTTTTGTCTTCAGAAAACATAGTGGAAATTAAAGAATATTATAAAGAACTTGGTTATATCCATTTTTTCAGTATTTTGTGCATTTATGATTTATCTCTGCAGTGCAAAATTAATTCATTGAAAACATGGCTTTGTATTTTTAAGACACTATATTTGTTTTGAGTATTCCCACATCAGTATTGAAAATTAAATTATGTAAATTATGTGTAGAGTGGGTACTCCATCCATGATGCTGGGACTGAAGGCCTAGAAAGGGAAATGCTGTAATATACGCATTTTAATATAAAGTGTTGGAATCATGGCTAAGTACTTTAAAATGAATATAGTATAAATATTACTTACTACAATATGTACCAAATATCTGTCAAACCATTAATCAACTTTAAAAAAGTGAAGCAGGAGATTTATGCTTGGCCATCGTTTCTTCCCTGTAAATTTTACTCTCTGCCCAAATTATGCCTTGTGGTACAGAAATGGCAGCCAGAATCTACTCATGCAAGTTACTCATGTTTTATATATTTTTACATATTTTTTTCTCGTAAGTTTATTTTAAGTGTCTCTTAAGAAATAATTCAAGACACAACAATGCTCAGAGCTGGCTTTATGCTAAATTCAATAAAACACTGGCCTAGGCCAGGGGCAGGCAACCTTGGCTCTTTTATGACTCGTGGACTTCAACTCCCAGAATTCCTGAGCCAGCCATTGAAGTCCACGAGTCATAAAAGAGCCAAGATTGCCTACCCCTGGTAGGGTATCAAAAGTAGGAGGTACAATGCTAACCCTCCGTCTGAATCTTTACAAAAATAGAAATCTTTTAATTGGTAGGAGATGTCCTGAGGCCTATATACCCTGAAGCTGACACTGTTTACAATATCACTGTTTTTATTCCAAAACCCATCAAGAACAGTATAATCTATGACAGTCTTCACTTCTGCTGATCATAAAATGCTGAGAATAGGTCATCCAAGTCTTCACACAAGTCCTGCACTGGAAGCAACACCTGCCTGCCCAGCTCCATGCAAAACAGAAATAGAATAAACTGCTTGCAGACTCCTTTTTCTGTTTTACAATATGCCTTCCAAATTAGGCATTTATGTAGTTTGCTTCTCATTTATTAGTATCAGCCTGAGGCAAGAATTCACATTTTATTGCTACAAGAATTGTTTAAGCAGCAGTGAAATTATGTGTGAGAGAAAGGCACAAGAAATAGGTGGCATATACGAATGTGGGTAAAAAATGAATAATATTGAATTTAGTAAGTAAGAAGGACAGTAATTAAGGCTGAAAATTTCAGAATGAACACAATAGTTGCATAAAATCTGAGCTACGAAAATCTAGACTTGTAAATAGTGGCAAAAAATAACCATAATTAAAAATATGTTTAATCTTTAAACATTGCATTTCATAAATACATATTAGCTTAGGAGGGATATATATTTTAAGTAGTATGTTATTTTTTATGCTTCTTTACTCTTGCTTTTCTTTCTTTTTTTCTACTGTTTTTTCTATTTTTTAAGAAATGTAAAAGTGTGAGATGGTTCATATGGAAAAATAGAGTTAAATTCTTAAATGTAATTAATTTTTGAGAAAATCTTAACCAGTAAGAATATCTAGAATTTGGTGGGAGAAACAAATTAAAATAAAGACTGCTCTATGATAAGGCAACCAGAATGATTGGATAGAAAAGAAATATTATATTGATGTGATTATTATTTTTAGGACTATTGGGAAAAAATTATATATTTAATTGTTATCTATCAAAACAATAAGAATTGTATTAACTCAATGTTTTCAAAAGAGGATATTTTGGGAAAAGAGGAAATCAACTAAAACTATTATGTGGATTATGGATTATAGAAATCAATTGTTAGTGATTGTTTTACAAATGTAACCCAGACAACACACTGTTCACCAATTATTAAGTAATTTATTTTTTTAAAAAATCAATAAAATATATTACAAAAAAAATAGTGGCAAAAAACTTGTAATCTGGTTATCTGGAATTTTAAAGCTCAGATATGTTGTACTATAAAAAAAATAAGAACATCGAATTCTATGAGATATTTCTGAGTTCAGGATTATTTTAATGTTGTATAGCTACCTGGAAAAAGCAACTTGGGCACAGGAATGAAAAATATATTGCTGAGTTAAAGACTATTAATACCTTCTGACATCCTACTTCCATTGTGTTCAACTTGCATTACAGTAAATAACATTAAGGCACATGTCTTTAAAAGACTAATAATATGACTTTTCTTTCAGAAGTCTGGTAGAAGATCATACTCTAAAGTTGAGTCCTAAAGCAAAGAGAGCTAAGCAAAGTGTATTGTCAGAAGAAAAAGAAAACACTATTGTTGACTATGTTGTCCCTGTGTTCACTGGAAGGTATGTCTCTTTAGTGCTGTTTTGTGAATGGGACAAAAAAAAATGACTGAGATAAAGAGTGAAGAAAATGTTTACAGCTTTATAATGGCTTCATTGTTAAATATAACCATATAATTAAATTCCTAATGATCTTGATATTGCACATATAAGTGCACAGATAGTGGGGTTGATTAAAAATATAATCTGCCTGACATTAGCCATCAATAGTGCAGTCCTATGTATGTTTCCTCTGAAGTAATTCTTGAGTCTTTATCCTTAAGTATCTGCTTATTCATATGTGGTATTTCAATTATGAATAAATAATTGAAAAGTAAGGGAATCAATAACATAGAGAAAACAGAAAGATAATGGCACTACAACTAAACTAAATACTGTCTTTTAAGTATCTCACTGTCCTGCATTTTCTGTGATATTTTTAATAAAAAAATGGAGTCCTCTGTCAATATAAACATATTAGAAGATATATTTGAGTTGTATTGAGTTTGAACTTGAATTTAACCAAATTATAAAAGATTGATGGGTCTGAAATTTACAGAGGAGACTATATTTTCGACAGAAATTGCTACTGAAATTTTGAATTCTTTAATAAACAATATGATCAAATTTGCATTGTTTTATAATGACATTTTTAGGGAAAAAGTTCTTAAAATTATGCAAATAGCTAAGAATTCTAATTTAGGTCAGAAAGATCTGTCTTCTGTATATTCAGTTTAGAATTATGTTAAATCAGTATATTCATTATAATACAAGAAAAGCTGTCTTTTGCTTTTTCATACATGCCACACATATATATTGTATTCGTCCCATTTGTTCTATTTTTTATTATATATAATTGAATAAGAAAATATTGCAGTAGTATCCAAGATTATTGGACCAAAAACCATTTATTTAATGGTTTTTACCTGAACAACAAGCATGTTTTTCAAAATCATTTAAAATTGTTCAGTACATAGCAATAGCAATAGCATTTAGACTTATATACCGCTTCACAATGCTTTACAGCCCTGTCTAAGTGGTTTACAGAGCCAGCATATTGCCCCCAACAATCTGGGTCCTCATTTTACCGACCTCAGGAGGATGGAAGACTGAGTCAACCTTGATTCAGTGAGAGCTGGTGAGAGTTACTGAATGGCATCATCTGAAAGTATAACTATTATTATGCTAATATTCCAAAGGTATTGTTCAGTTATCTGATTTTATATGTAAACCTGCCATTCTGCTCTCTCTGGCTAAAGATTAAAGTCTTTAAGGATTGCATTCAGGGTCAGCCTAAACATTTGGCACTTCATCTCAAGAAAGTTTTCTATATCTCTTCTAATTGCTCAGTGTTTGAATGAATGTTTAGAATGATATGGATAGCCATTTCATAACTTTGATATTCAGAGTGAGCATATGTGTCAACTATATAGTGATAAATTATGTATGTGGATTTTACTGCAATACAGACACATTTCAATGAACTGACTTTGTGTTAAAAATATTGATAAAGAATGAAAAGAATACAACATTGGATATACAGATATATATATATATATATATATATATATATATATATATATATATATATATATATATATATATATATATATATATATATATATATATATCCAAATTTCTTTTTTTTCTGACAAAGAGTAAAGAATTAAATTGGGAGACTAAGATGGACCATTTCTGGCTTTTTTTGCCTTCATCAGTTAGCCATACCCTTTATGGGATTTGAACCTGGGCAGTTATACATACTAGTCAGTGATTTAATCACTGAGCCACAGGTTCTCTTCCCCTCTTTGCCAGCAGAGTCAAGGGAGTAATTATAGGGAGTTCAGACAGATTGGTCTGATTGTGAACACCTTGACATTTTCAACTGCCATACTGCAGTTTACTCTTTTTACAATATCTCTTGCCTTGCCGCCCCCAACT